AAGAAGAGAAAAGAAGAAGAGGGACAAAAGTGGAAAGTTTCTTTGAAATTTTCTGGGTAAATTTAGTAGCACAACATCGTTTGGTAAGTCTAAAATTTCACAGCGCAGAGTGCAATTGGTGAATAATTCAAAAACAGCACAGCTGTAGAATTCATGTTGAAAGATAAACACTTGAAAATGACAGTAAGCGAAGGATAATGGAGTTAAGATTTCTCTGGACAACAAAAGGAATACGTTCACAGCCACCAGTATGACCAAAATCATCAAAAAGGATTATGGATAGATTCACTAATGACTGACATAGTAACATTCCTCAAGCATTGTAAGGCCTGTATGTAATTGTTTAGAGCTAGCCAAGCCTTTTCTCAATTCAGCCAGTGCAGAATGTACACACTTTCTGTTCCACCACCTTGCACCCTAATTTGCCTGCTCCAAAACTATCGGCATCATGATTGAATTGACACATTTGACATAAAAAGTAAAGCCCGGATATCACAAGGACAATACTCATATTGCTGCAGGAATATACAACGGGAGATGACAAGGAGGTGAGGATCTTATGCAAGTACTAAATTAGTACTGCATTCCACTTGTAAATAATATGCATTGTATAATCTGAACTAAAAATTGAATGTCTAGAAGTTTAGTTTCTGGAGGCGCCACTGAGAGGCCAGAATATACGAAAAAGTCGGTGACAGCTATCTTTAATACAGAAAGAATAAAGAGCAAGAGAAATCTTAGAATTCGCGAATCTTGATGTAAAAAGATTGTGTTAACTGCACGAAAGCAAAAAGCATTGATCAAGAGAAAACAATAAGGCAAGTTATTTTAAATCACTGAAAAATTACATTATTTGTAAAAGCAAAGGTTCAAAGGCCAGAGACCTGCCTAACAGAGAAACAATTCTTCCTTAGTCTTTCTTGGACGCATCTTTTGTCAAGAATTGCTGCGCCCTTCGACGCCGAACACTGTGCTACAAATGGGTCCAAAGAACTCTCCTGCCCTGTCATGCAGTTCAAACGTTAGGAATTTTTGGATTTGTTCTTTCTTTGAGAAGATATACTCATAATTTAAAAGTACTAATTTTTAATTTCTTATATACAGTGAAGTTTCGTGGAAAACCTGAGAAAGTAAACTAAGCCGCATCGGTAAACAAAGTTGATATTATCGTTGATCCACGTTGATAGAGCGCCAATGCATCCCGCCGTAGAAGGAGCGCAGGACAAGGCCAACGGGATGTCGAACGATGTTTGTTATCGGGTTAAGACAAGAGCCAACTCGTAGATTAAATTATTGATAACATCATCGCAGTTCACACAAGAAATGCGTGAAAACGCTAGAGTCCTCCTTCAGGATAGAACGGGTTCGAATGTGTTCTATTCATTCAAGACAAGTCATGTGTACTGTTCGTTAAAGGACAAGTTATGATCACATTTTACGGTGAGAGCCAGAGAAAATTTGGGGGCAGACAAAAAGGAAACGCTTTTTTTCCAACGTCTTTTCTGTAGTAGCGATGTAGGATGTTGACTAGAAGAGGTTTATTAGGCATGCGCGAAAAATTTTGAATTAATTTTTCTATCAAATCTTGAGTGAAGGAGAAGAGATCTGCAAACAGACAAGCGTTTATTTTCTTACAATAGCTCAGTAGCACTCCAGTGTGCTTACGTCTTAATGATAAGATAGAAAAAATTCTGACTTGTTATCCAAGCAATAGGAATGAAAAAAGATTTCGTATGCAAAAAAACAATAGGATATCTCGAATATGACCCGAGTCATAACAAAAGACCACATGGTTACGATAGCACGGTCGGCCTGAATGTTTCAGGTCAATAAAAGGCGCAAATGGGAGCGGAACCAGTTGTTGAAGTCTTTAAAGAAGTGAGAGGATTTACTGACACCCACTTACTCTTTTATCCCCAATTCATTTTGACTTAGATTAAATATCATATGGTAAACTGATATGCAGCAACACCGAGAAAAAGATAAACGACAATAAGATGAAGTTTGCAACCAATAACCTTACCAAACAGGTTTTGAAACGAAGGTGTTAACAGTCCGCCTGAACTATACAATAGAGTCCAATCAATCTCAACTAAAACCTTAATCTTAGATATTATCACAGTTTGTACACCACTTCCTGTGCATAACTTTCATAACTATCCTACTAGTATTGCCCTGATGTTAAAGACAAAGGAATGCATAGAGGGAAGGCCAGAGAGAGGGAATTGAATGTATAACATTGAGAGTCACAGGAATGAGCACAAGCAGGTGAGGGGAAAAAGAACGTGGAAACGATGACCAGTCGGCAGTGTTTGATGAGGAATACATCAGATATGCTGATGAATTCAGCGTTCAGAAACGGTTGTAGCGATGTCGGCGATCGTCAACGCAGAAGATCTGTTACAGATCGGGGACCATGTGCAGGGACAAACAAAAAGATTATTGCGAGATGAGCGAATAAGATAAATTTCGGAGATTCTCAGTTACTGATCAGACGCGATTGCGCCACCACGGTGGACACACTCACACGCTCGCACGAAAAGGTGGACTGCAGTGAGGAAGAAGTGAAAACGACATTTGATGAGCACGATATGAGATACTGAGGTGATAAAAAGCGATAAATATGAGCGATGATGCTGGAGACGAGAACTAGTTAACCGCCTTATGTGGAGGTGCAATCAAACTGCTAAAGTTGAATCAACAATGGCGGAACCCGTTCGCTGAACACTTGCAATCAACAAGCTGACTGTCGGCGAATTCCTGGACATAGCAAAAAGCCGAGCAGAGTGAACAGCACAAAGACTCTCTCGCTCATCCACAAAAAGCAAACGTCACCGAAATTGGGCGATTTGAGTGAAATCGATAACAAATCGAGAGCGGTAGTCAAAAAGTG